GACGCAGGGCAGTGTGTCATGGTGACTTTAGCTCCTGTCCAGCGGGAGGCGCTGTTACTCTCTCGCGCTATATCTCACCGGAAGTGCATCGCACATGTTGCGTCTGTTTTCCAGCGCTGACTGAAGGAGTTTGTGAACGCATGTCTGTCATGATGGATTCGCCAGCGCCTGTCGTTAGTGAGCCGAGGACGCGCGGGAAGAAGACGCGGGGGAAGAGGCCGCTGAGCGATGCCAGCGCGTCGGAGGAGCGCGGTAAACAGCAGAGGCACGCGGAGCTGTGCGCGACGCTCGGCGGGGAGGACGCGTCCGTCAGGCACCTGGAGGAGCTCGTGTTTGGCGCGGAGGAGCGGCTCGCGGACACACTCGCGCAGGTACCACACGCATTCCAGATACAACACACAGTCACAACACACACTCAATGTACAACACACACACACACACACACACACACACACACACACACACACACACACACACACACACACACTCCAGATACAACACACACTCGCGCAGGTACAACACACACACACACACACACACACACACACACACACACACACACAGGTAAAACAACATAATCTAGGTACAACAACACACACTCCAGGTACAATAAAACTCTCGCGCGAAGGAACACCAACACACTGTACTTGGTGTGTGTGTGTGTGTGTGTGTGTGTGTGTGTGTGTGTGTTGAGATGCGCTGATACTGATGTGTAGCTACGTGTGTGTGAGAGAGTGGTGCTCTAAAGCCTAGTTCACACTACGTGATTTTAAGCCCGATTTAAGCCCGATTTGCAAATCGTTGAGTCGCCGACAAGGGTGCTATCGCGTGCAAATCGCGGGCGATTAGCGGACGATTAACGCTCGCCAATCCGATAGTGTGAAAGAGCCAACAACGCATCAAAGACAGCTCGCAGACAGGTCACCAAGCTCAGAAAAATATCTAGCATGCTAGATATCTCGAGCAGTCGCGCGACTCAATCTCAGTGATGTCATGAGTTCAGCCAATCATAGCAACGCATGGGTTGAGGACACCAGGTAAATCTTACTTTTTCTTTTTTGCATTTTTTTTTTATTAGAGCATATCGTCGAGCAAACAGTGTGCAGCACTAGTTTCTGTCTGACGTCCATATTCGCGTGTTGTGTTCTTCTCTGCAGTTTCGCGTCATTTCTGGTTCGTTTTATTGCGTGGTTTTTCGTGACAAAACATGGTTTCTAGACCAGATAGAATCGTGTTGTTGTCAACTCGTTATTTGTTTGATTATTTTCAGGATTTAGACCGTACTATAGTACTGAAACAGCTCTCATTGAGTCACAAATGATATGCTCTTATCATCCGATCGTGGTTGTATCTCTATGTAGTGCGTTGTTAAAGGTGCAATGTGTAACAAAGTTGAGTATCTATTAACAGAAATGCAATATGACATCCATAACTATGTTTTCAGTGGTGTATAAAGAACTTACTTAATTAGCCGTAATGTTTTTATTACCTTAGAATGAGACATTAATAGCTCCATAACCGAGGGAATCCCCTTCTATGAAGGTCGTCATGTTGTGACGTCATATTCCTACCGTAGCCGAACGCGAACAAACAGCGCTACAGAACGCGTTTCATCACTACCTTGAAAGAGAAGTAGCGGAAAGCTGAAAGCTAGCCTTACACTCCGTGAGTAGTGACTTTTCCCTTGTGAGTGGTGTAAAATATGTAGTTGGGATTGTTTCATGTAACTTAGTTCTCCCTCGCTGTGTTATGGGTAGGGATGGGTACCGAAACCCGGTATTAAACGGGCCCCGGAGCTGAATTTTGAAAGACCGCTGGATCGATAAGCTCGGACGTTATCGGTTCTGCTGTCGGTACTGGAGAAATTAAGTAAATACACGTAAGTTGGCCTACTATTTATTATTCCTATAAAGAAGTTATCTTGAACATGTTTCGCCAGCCATTTCTATATCATAGTCTGTGATGCAAATTTGCAATTTGCAGTTCAGAAGAGAGAGAGAGAAGAGAGAGAGCGATCTCTCACGCAAAGCCACAGCACGCGCAACACGACAGCCCTGCTTAATGAGTGACCATGAGGACAGAACTAACATTCAACGTGGTTACACTTTAGATCTGGGATATTATTCTAATATATTTTGTATTTTGGCTTCCAAAGATTATAAAAAGAAGATATTTGAGATAAAACCGTTAAAAAAACGAGACGATCTGTCCTTTACTTCACAGCACTGCGGAGCGCTGTCAGTTCTTCCTAAAACCTAAACGTAACCGTCAGAATCAGCACGATCAGCGATTGTTGCAAAATGCTGTCTTCTACTGTTGCAAGATCAAAAAATGGCTATTAAAAACACAAAAGCCTGCGCAAGAGACGCTGTTCACAAGGCGGTGCGCGCTCCGAAACGGACTGCCTATACTTGGGCTCGTGCGTCCTTAACTATCAAATATACATAAAAATGTCAAAATGACCAGCTCTGAGATTAACTTAAACACAGTTTATTCACTTAAACACAATTATGTCTTAAATGGACGTAAATAATAGGGAGAAAATGATGGTGCATCAGTCCCCATTAGATCTGCAATCGGTCTTAAAGGGGCAGCAGTCTAATAGCCCAAACTTGCCGACGATTCAGCCATTAATGCAAATCAAACAACAAAAGCCAGAGAAAATCACTCACAGCTTTTGAATGAGTAACTTTAGATTTAATAAGCATTAATCTATCTATGATAAACTATACAGTGCTATTTTATATTTGATTACTAGGTTTCTTTTCAGATAAACAATTACCTGAAAAGATGTTAGTACACCTTCCTGAAATTAAAGCACTCTGTATATAATTTGTATCTTTGATTAATTGTATTCTTGTGTTTGTACTTGTTTTTTTATTATGCATCCTTTTTGTATAAACAAAAAAAGCCTGCACACAGCTGCATAACAAAAATATATTTTCCTTCGTTTTGCTTTTTCTATTTTACATTTCAAAATATAAAGTTTAATTATTCTTAATTCTTAAAAAAAAAAAAAAAAAAAAACACCAAAAAGAACCGATAAGAATACCGTTAAAGTACCGGATCGATAAGCGGTATCGGTAAGAGTAGTAATACCGATAAAACCTTAACGATACCCATCCCTAGTTATGGGTTTGTTATGTTGGGGATAGATGTGCTGTTACGTTCGTGAGACAGCTGATGATTAGTATTCATGTCATTGACCGTAAAACAGTACGTTACAGGAATCACTAACCCGTCGATAGAGAGACTTTTACTAAAGTCTTTTATCACTAAAGTCGATCGCGAAGAATTTTAAAAATCAGAGAAAAAAAGCCTATTGTGTGTAGTAAATAGTATCTATGGGATGCGGAGATGACACGATTGTAACAGCGCGCGCACTTCCGACCTTTGGACTCATGCGGACGAGTCCCAGCTCAGCCACAGTAACAGCTCATATTAGCCAGCTAAACTATTACTACCCTGTTAGAAAAAATATATAGCTGCTCCCTCGCTGTATTATGGGTTTGCTACAGTATGTGGGGATAAATGTGCTGCTGGTTACGTTTGTGAGACAATCAGCTGATTATTATTTTATTAAATTATATATTAAAACCCTTGATCCTCACCTGACTATGGCTTTGTAAACAGACAGTATTCATGATGTGGTTTATAATGGACTGTGGTACAGAAACAGTGACAATGTTACACACTCTTGGCTTACTCTGGCTATTCTCTGCTGTCTCAGCCGACGAGATGTTTGTCCCGTTTTAGCAACCGTAGCTTCTTCGAAAGGGAGGGGTGAGCAGTGGGCTGAGCCCTTAGTGCAAACTCGCAACCGAACCACTAGATGTCGCTAAAAGTCACACATTGCTCCTTTAACTCGTGTAGTGAGTTACCTCCTGTTGTGGATCAATCACGCTGTGTTGTGTGGTGTGAACAGCTAAACAACTTGAACACTCATGATTTCACTGAGAGCAAGTCATGTAGTGTAAACTGCACAGTTCAGCCCGACATTTTAAAATCATGTAGTGTGAACTAGGCTTAATGCTACGTTCACACCGGGCGCGAATGATTTTAATGTTGAGTCAATGCAAAGACGCTTTAAGGCCAATTTATACTTCTGCGTAGGGTGCGCGCAGTAGGTACGGCGTAGCATACGCACAGACGCGTCCCATATCGCGTACCGTTCGCCGTAGCCTGACGCGCACCTCCTCAAAAATGTAACTACACGTCGCGACGACGCGGACCGCAAGATCGGTGATTGGTCGGCTTGGTAGCATCGCATTTCCTCCTACGCTACGCTTCCTTCCTCGCTTTTCCTTCCTTCTTTCCATTTCCATACTATTTCCTCCTTACATCCGCACGTACCATCTCCTCCAACATCTTCTCTCATTTCTGCCTTTCAGTTTTAGTAATTTCTCTAAAATTAACTGTTTTTAATTTTAAAACGGCTCAATTATAAGTTTATCAAGCGACGAGACTACTTTTTGTGCGAAAAAAACATAAATAACGACTTTATTCCACTATTCCATTACTTCCTTATGGGCGCATACGCGAGAACTGAGACGAGGACGTTCTCATTCGTCTACTTCTTGTTACCGGCTGCTCACGGCTTAGGAGTTTTACCGCCACCTACCGTATAAAATGATGATCCATATATAAGGCGCTCCGGATTATAAGGAACACTGTCGTTTTTTGAGAAGATTAAAGGCTTTTAAGTGCACCTTATAGTGCGGAAAATACGCAAATTGAAAAGCGTATACAGCGCGCATCTTCCTCTGCTTGTAAACAGAAAGTTTTGCGCTTCCAGCTATATCAGCACATCATCTTATACGGTAGGGGGGCGGTAAAACTCCTAAGCGGTGAGCAGCTGGTAACAAGAAGTAGACGAATGAGAACGTCCTCGTCTCAGTTCTCGCGCATGCGCATGCGCCCATAAGCAAGTAATGGAATAGTGGAATAAAGTCGTTATTTATGTTTTTTTCGCACAAAAAGTAGTCTCGTCGCTTGATAAACTTATAATTGAGCCGCTGTAGGCACATGGAATATTTAAACCTTTTCTTTAATGACTTTATGGGCCGTCAAGAGCCAGTCCCTTAGGCAGTCTATATAGGACTGATCCAGCTCTCAGATTCAATCAAAAATATCTTTATTTGTGTTCCGAAGATGAACGAAGGTCTTACGGGGTTGGTACATCATGGGGGTGAGTAATTAATAGGGCTGGGTATCGATTCACATTTCAATTTCGATTCGATTTCGTTTCACAAGCTCTCAGTTCGATTCGATTTCGATTCTCGATTCAATTTTCGATTTCGATTCCTGATTTGATTCTCGATTCGACTATAATGAAGATGTAATACAAATCCTATATTTATAAAAAAGAACA